ATATATACTTGTTTAATTGAGACTGAATGAAAAACGGTTTTTTCTATACTTATTTATTTTAAGTAAATGAAAAAAATATTATTTTATGGTACTTTTGGATATAAAATTGTCAATGTTCCAGACATTTGAGCTAGACCGTAATAACCGTCAGAGCTTTTTGCTTCACACGTCCATATTCCTGAGGTTTTTAGATCTACTGGGTTGAGTGTTATTTTGTGGAAGTTCGAGCCTTTAATCTAAGAAAAAGTTTTTAAATATATACGGTTGAAATAAACGGCATATCAAGAAATATTAGAGATGATATCATCAGAGTCCATCTGAAACACCCCCTTGTACGGTTATGGTGTGAGACGATTAAATTCTTTTTCAAATTATATAATTAACCAACTTGTGCCATAATCATAGCGGTTACATCAGTAAGTACGGGCACAAAGAAATAAAAATCAGTTACAAAATATGAAAATAGCAAGAATGTAAGCAAGCAAATATCGTAGACACATATTGCAGATGAAACAATACTGATGTAAAAACTAAGAAAGTGAATAATGCATACAACACGCATCATAATTTTGATGGTTTGATTTTTTCCGTGGTATACTAATTAGTCCTTTCTGCGTTCCTTTTTTGTAAATACGTACGTCTATATTAACTCCTTCCACCTGGTTTGTTACCATTCCTGCCAGTTTATTAGGATCACATCTGTAAACCTCCTGACCATCTTTTAACCATCGAATATAATCCAATGTTGGAAATACTCCAATACCGAACAAAATATTGCATTCTAGTTTTACAACATCTCCAATTGTGGCAGTTGATGGCATTTGCAATTTACTAGCTAAAAATACGTTTTTCGTGTACTAAGTACATACATATGCATGCACAACCTATGCATTTTTAGCTACAAAATATAATTAATAAAGTTAAAGTACATCTGATTTTTTAAATATCTGTTTATGGCTAGAATGTTTACAAAAAAGGAATTTAACATAAGTCATTAGATGAGTTTGTATTTCTGTGCGATTATAATATTAAGAAGCTGCTATCTAAATTCTAGTTTATATTGAGATAATAAAAATCAATTTTACCTTCTGCACCGTAAAGCAAAAATAATAAAACAAAAACACATGCCTTTTCCATTCTAAAACCGTTTGCGTTGACTCGTCCGTTTTTGAATAAGATAACTGTTGAGTTTATTTATTTCTTTTATATTATTTCAAAAATGTTTTTGTTTACTGGTATTTAAGTTTTATCGGTCAATGTAACAATAATTTCTTCTTGAAAAGTGATAATTTGTTTATTTCGAAACTTACATTAAAAACATAATTAATTAACATCTTTTAATTGTTGTTTATGTACGGAACCTTTGTGTAATTTTCAGTTTATATTAGTTTGATAAACAAAAACAATATTTTTGCTATTTGCTTTATTTTAATACTTGCACTGCAGTAAAGTTTTTACAACTTATTAACAATTAAAAAAGTATATTTATATAGATCATGTAATCGTATTGAATTTAATTACTAGAAACACAGTGGAATAATACTTTTACACATTTATTTGAATAATTTAAAGTAGACTTA